TCCAGCAGAAAAATAGCCTGAAGACAACATGGATGCATCCCAGATCCAAACATTGGCACCTCATCGATTATGTCTTGGTGCAATGGAGAGATGTCCATGATGTCCACCACACCCATGTGATGCCCAGCGCAGAATGCCAAACAGACCATCGACTGGTGCACTGTAAACTTAATCTCATTCTTAAATTCAAACCTAAAAGAGGCAGCATCCCAAGGAGGAGACTTCAAGTTAACAATCTCCAATCAGCCACAGTGAGAAACAAATTCCAGGCTAATCTTCAAACTAGGCTTGATAACCATTCCACAGATTCTACAGATACCTCTCCTGAAACACTCTGGCACCATATTAAAAACAGCATTCTGCAGTCCTCTGAAGAATCCTTAGGGTTCTCCCTCAAGAAGAACAAGGACTGGTTCGATGATGGGTTAATGCACCATGAATAGTATTCACAGAGGGTAATTTTAACCTCTGGTGCCTAATTTCTCCTGTTCCCTTTTCTGCCAATCTGTGGGTGTGGGAGTTTGATTCCTTAAGAGAATGGTCTTCACAGAATCACAGAATATGCTGAGTTGGAAAGGAACCACAAGGATCATCGAGACCAACTCTTGGCCCTGCACAGGACCATCCCTAGGAGTCACACCATGTGCCTGAGAGTATCATCCAAATGCTTCTTGAACTCTGTCAGGCTTGGTGCTGTGACCACTTCCCTGGGGAACATGTTCCAGTTCTGGGTGCAGAACCTTTTCTCTAAGAGCTTAATATCTTTCTTATATTGTGGTGCTCAAACTGCACACAATATTCAAGGTGAGGCCGCATCAGTGCTGAGTGGGACAATCCCCCTACTCAACTGGCTGCTTTGCCTGATGCCCCCCAGGACATGGTTGGCCCTCCTGGCTGCTAAGGCACTGCTGACTCAGATTCAACTTGGCATCGACCAGCATCCCCAGGTCCCTTTCCGTGGCACTGCTTTCCAGCCTCTCATTCCCCAGTCTGTCCATACATCTGGGGTTGCCCCATCTCAGGTGCAGAATCCGGCACTTTCCCTTTCTGAATGGAAAGCAAGTCCAGTCTTCCAGGGGGCCAAAATCTGGCAGGCAGAGGGCAGACCCCAAGTGTATGCCTAACTTGAAAAGCTGTATCCTCTGTTGTTGAGGGATTTAGGCTCTACTGATTGCAGAGGTAGTCTATAAACACTAGCTTCTCTTGATATTTCTGAATAACTAGCCTCATTTCCTCTAAGTATCTGAATTTGGCTTGTCTTTCCATTTGGCTTCTCTGCCTACCTGCCTATAGGTGCTCTTTCCTAATGGATTTGAACCCCAAAATGGTTTTAGGAAAAAGTTTTAGAAGAAAGGAACTCTAGAATAGAATGGAATGGAACGGAATGGAATGGAACTGACTAGGTCTCACCAACACTGAGTATAACAGGACAATCCCCTCTCTTGACTGTGTTTGATGCGCTATGCTGTGTTTAATGCACACCAGGATGGGGTTTGCCCTCCTGGTTGCCCAGGCACACTGATGAGTGATGTGGAGTTTGCTGTTGATCAGCGTGCCAGATCCTTTTTTGCAAGGCTGCTCTCCAGCTAATCATCTCCCAGTTTAGCTTTGTTCCTAAATCTCAGCATCTCCGTTTAGAAAATCTGCCAATTCCTGCATCCAAATAATTGATAAATATATGGAACAGAACTGCCTCTAGAAGTGAGACCTGAGGAAGGGCACCAGCAGCAAGCCAGACATAGCCCTATTCACTACAACCCTTTGAGCTCTGTCCTTAGCCAGTTCTTCACCCAGCACACCTTGTACCTGCTCATCCCACAGCTGCCCAACTTGTCCAGAAGGATGCTGTGAGGGACAGATTAAAAAGCCTTGCTAAAATCCAGAAAACCAACGTGCATATTGGATGAAGCCTTCCCTTCATTCCCTGGGCAGGTGACCTCATAATAGAAGGAGAGCAAATCAGTTAAACAGGACTTTCCGTTTGTGAACCCGTGTTGACTGTGCCTGATGATCACATTTTCTTTGAATGTCTTTCAACAGTATCCAGTACAATCTTCTCCATAATTTGCCCAGGTACTGAGGTTAGACTCCAGGTTTGTTATTTCCTGGGTCCTCCCTCACACCCTTTTTTTGTAAATTGGAATAACTCTGGTAAACTTCCAGTCAGCAGGGATCTCCCTGGACTCCCAAGACTTTTTAGATCACCAAGAGGGGTCCTGCCATATCATCTGCCAGCTCCATCAGTACCCTGGGATGAATCCCACCAGGCTCCCACAGACTTGTGAACATTCACATGATACAGCTGGCTCTTAGTTTTAGTGTCCAGGAATGGAACACCACTGTTCCCACACTGGTGGTGCTCTGACTCCAGGGATGGGACAGCCCAAGGTCTGTGAGTTTATGAAAGATTGAAGCAAAAAAACCCCAAAAATTGCCTCTGCTTTTTCTTCATCCCTGTTACTCAGAGATCTAAGTAAATGGATGACTGGGGATTCTTGTTGCTGAAGGATATCAGGAATATGGGATACATTCATAGAAATCACATTTCATTAGGTCCTGTATTCACTTATTTTCTTCTTTGGGGATGAAGTTTATTCTCTGTCATGGTTGTCATGATTCAACATCTACCAATGTAGATATTGGTGTTCATAAATGATTATTTCCTAACTGTTATGTTTAGAGTGTACCCAACATGGTAATACTGAGCAACTAAAAAACTTTTGCTGTAGATGGAAGCAGGTTAGGGTACCATCATCTAATAAGTTGTTGTTCTGTGTTTTGTTTTTGGTTGGTTGGTTGGTTTGTTTTGGTTTGCTTTTCCAAGAAGTGACTATGTTTATTATTGGGACAGACTGTAGGAATCCTTATGCTGACAAGAGGACTGTAGTCTTCCCTTATGCTTGTTGACATATTCCACACGAAGTTGATAGCAAGAGATTTCTCTGAGGAACGACTAGTCATATAAACAAAAAACAATATGCAAACCTCATCTTGTTTTGGCTGGTGTTAAGTTAGTTTTCTTACCAGTGGCTGTTATGAAAGCTGTGTTTTGGATTTGTGCTGAACACAGGGTTGATAATACAGGGATGTTTTTGTTATTGGTGAGCAGGGCTTACACAGAGCCAAGGGTTTTTCTGTTTTTCACAAGGCCACCTGTCGAGGAGAATGGGGGTGCAGAAAACACAGCCAGGACAGGTGCCTCCAGCTGACCAAAGGGGGCCCAGACCATATGGCATCATATGGGGGGAAGAAGGAGGAAGGGGGGACGTTTGGAGTGATGGTGTTTGTCTTCCCAAGTAACCACTACATGTGATTGGGCCCTGCTCTCCTGGACATGGCTGAACACCTGCCTGCCCATGGGGTGCAGTGAATTAATTCCTTTTTTTACTTTGCTTGTGTGTGCAGCTTCTGCTTTCCTTATTAAACCATTTTAATCTAAACCCGTGAGTTTTCCAGCTTGTACCCTTCTGATTCTCTCCCTGACTCTACTGGTGATGGAGTGAGCAAACAAGCAGCTACCCGCTGCCTCCGTGCTGGCTGGGGTTAATCACAGAATCACAGAACCAACTGGGTTGGAAAAGACCTCTGAGATCATCGAGTCCAATCTCTGACTGAACATGACCTTGTCAACTAGACCATGGCATTAAGTGCCACATCCAGTCTCTTCTTAAACACCTCCAAGGACAGTGACTCCACCACCTCCCTGGGCAGCCCGTGCCAATGCCCCATCATCCTTTCCGTGGAAGAACTACATTTTAATGTCTAACCTAAACCTCCCCTGGCGCAGCTTAAGACTGTGCCCTCTTGTCTTTGTTAAACTACCACAAAAGCTCATAAAAACAGTGTTTAAGAGCAGGTGAAGCGCGTTATGCTTCCACTGCCCCAGCCACGCTCAGGGGCCGTCCGCGCCCTGGTCCCCTCAGTGCTCGGCAGGGTCCCGCCCCCCAGCCGCGATTGGCCGCCTCTCTCCCTCCCGGGCCGCCATTGGCCGACGCGGGCGCCGCGCGCAGCGCGATTGGCCGAGCGACGGCGGCGGCGGCGGGACGAGCGCGGAGCGGGCCCAGCCCGGCGCGCTGGGCCGCCATAAAGGGGCGCCCGCAGGCCCTCGAGCCGTCCTGGGTGCCGAGTTCCTCTTCTCTCTCACTTTCTTCGGGGAAGAAAGCTGCGGAAGCGGCCTGTGTGGTTCTGTGGGAGCAGCCGGTGGGTCGAGTGGACGCTGCGCCCGTGAGGCCGTTGCGGGATACAGGGGGGGCCCGGCGGGGTACGCAGGGACACGGTGGGCACGGGCGGGACTGTATGGCAAAGGGGTTTGAATCTATTCCCTTTCTTTTTTGGAGGGTGAGTTTCTTGTTTGGTTGGTTGTCTTGTTTTGGTGTGTTTGATCTTGCCCCTCACAACACCGTGGCAGTGCCTCACTGCCCCCGCGAGGAAGGGGGGCCCTGTCGCTGCCCAGGTGACCCCGGGCTCGCTGCCGAGGTGCTGCTTGACATCGCCTGGTGAAGCACCCACACTTTACTGGAGGAGAGATGGGCTGAGCCACCCCCAAACTGAGGGTCAGCAAGAACGTGCGTTGGGCCCAGAATTCAAAGGATGTTTGTTAATGGGTGCTTTTAGCTGATGGCACTTTTTTTTTTCCAGACGAGCGAAATTGAATTAACCTGCGGTAACAGGTTAACCCACAGCAGGGTGGGTTTTGCACCTGGAGGAAAGTTGCACCTCCTATTGCACATTTAAAAGTTCACTTGAGCTGCTTGTCCTCAGCTGTGCTGACTGCGGTGGAACTGAGGTCTGTCAAGATACTCTGCACTGCTGATATGTGTGGCTGGATACTGCTGGTGAATTAACACTTTGAAACATATATTTTGGCTACATGGTGTGTGTCTCCATGATGCACAAAGATGTAAAAAGTTTTTTTAAAGTTTATTATAACTTGAAGGCTGAGTACTTTATAGGATGTGTTTGGAAGCTTGGAGACTGCATTTAGGTCATTTTCCCATGCTCTGACATGTTCAGCACTTCATTTTTTTCAGTATAGTTTTTGATTTGTACTTCTCTGTGCAACTGTGCACAGCTGCGAAAAATGATTTTTGATAGAGTTGCACAAATTTAGTCTAGAAAAAAATCATTATTGTAGCAATGGACAGTGCTGTCAGAGTGTTAAGTGTTCTCTTTTAATGCAAAAATGAAGAACACCTACTTTATAGATTGAAATTTCATTGAGGAGAAGTATGCTTTTTTTATGGTTGTGTAAGCAAATTTATGTAATAAAATAAGTTTGTTTGCAGCTGAGTCAGACTTGCACAGAATTGATTTCCTCATCTTTCTCACCCATCAAAGCAAGGAAAAAGTCCGGGGAAAAAAGTTAATCACGAAAATCTTATTTTGAAGTTGCATTAAAATGCAGGATCAGGAAAATTCTGTGAAATAGGCCTGTTTTTTTAATTTTTGTTTGCAATGCAGTGAATTGCAGTGTGGTGTAGGTAATGTGCAAGAGTTTGTGACAGATTAAAGGCTCATCAAAATAAGACATCCTTGTGAATTATCGCTTTGTTAAACTAGCTGTTTCCACAAAGATGTTTACTTTTGCAAAAGCACTTTGGCACAGCAAATGAAAAATACCGATATGACATACTGGATTAATTCAACAAAAATTATTATGGTTTATGTTGCAAAAAGTTAAGCTTGTGTTGCTACTGTTTTTACATCTCCCTGGTGGTCCAGAGTAACTTGTAGAAGTGTGTTCATTTTGATTCTTGGCCTCTTAGGAAGGCTTGAATGAAACCAGAAGTATTATTGTGCTGTACAGCAGTAGAGGCTAGAATCCTGTTGTACTGGGGACATTTTTGGTGCTTGTGTGTTTACAGTATGAGTCGCATTCGTTTGGCATCTGAGGTAATCGGGGGTGTGGGTGTCATTGAAACTGTCACCATAAAATTTATAGTTCCTTCAAGATTTATCCTAGTATTTCTGCATAATATGTTGAACAAAGTGTGGGGAATAAATGTGTTATAATTCATTTATTCACTAATACAGTAGTGACCCTCCCCTCTGTTTTAGTGGGTAGTTTGATAAAGTTCACCTCAGTTGCAATGGTGCTTCAGCGATCTTTCGTCTGTATGTTTAGTCATGTGTTTCAACAGGTCCCTAAGGGCTGCTTTGCATTTATTTTTCATTTGGGAAATGTGTTTAAAGACTTCAGTTAATACCTTGAAACAATGCTGGAGCTACAGAAACAACTTTGAATGTGGAATAAGCTGAGGTAAACTTGAACCTCTGGAAGAGTTGTTCTGTTCAGAACATCCATGAGCAGGGGGTGCTCTGACTGTCCCTAAAGGAGACACTAACCTGAACTGTGCACAGTACTTTCCATCAGTGTCTGGAACTTCAACTTCTGTGCTTTTGATAGCCTGAACTCAAACAAAACACACCATGCAGTTTGACGGAGTATCCTAAAGCACTTTTAGTAGTGTTGTACATACATAATGCAGGGACAGTTGTTTGGGTTGTCAAAGTGCAAAATATAGTAGGTCTTACAAGAACCTTGGTTGTCATGCAGGCCACACCTGGCTGTCTGTGTGGAGCATGGATATAACTTATTTATATGGGAAATTGAGGTAATTATTGATGAGCTCTTAGTAATGAGTGGAATACTCTGCAAGGATGACAGAGTGGATGGCCATGTAAGTTGCTAAATGCTCATGTGTCGTGGGGAAAAATATTTAGCAATTCTGCTGCCAATGGCATTAATCATTCTGAGTAGTTTTAAAACAGCTTTTCAAATTTGATTATTTCAAGTCTGATGTTTTTATACTAAACCCTTACACAGCATTTCAGGTAACTAAAAATGTGACTGTGGAAGCAGAGAGAATTCCAGCTGACACACACATATGTGTGTGTCTGTAATGCTTATTAAAACATAATTTGAAAAGGTTGTGGTGGTTCAGATTCCAAAATCCCCTGTGGTTTTTCTGAATTGCTGTGGCATCTCAATATCTCTCTATTAGATGCTAAGCGGGGGGGAGGGAAATCCAAGGTGATAACAGATTTGAGATTTAAATGATGCCACTAGTTGATACTATAGAAAAGTATAATACAGAGAAACAGTTCTGATCCTGAGGGTGGATTGTGGATTAGGATAATCTGTTATACCGAAATGTCCTATCACGTCATCTTAGTGTCAGAATGTTCCAAAACATTCAAGAGAAGTTTCCATAACCCAGATGAGTTTAAACAATAGCAAGGTCTGCCTTCTGTTCTAGTGGCTCTGTAGTCAACTTTATATATTAGATAAGTGTCTGTTCATTAAGTGTTTGGTGAACCAGACATTTGCAGTTTGGTGATAGGTTAAAAAAAATTGTGGAGTAAGATTTTGAGCAGTTCTGTCAGGAATCTGCAACAGTGTTTTTGAGGCCTAAAAATTGTCTCCTAGGTAATGGATCTGTAATATGTTTCCATGATTGTAATAAGTTGCTTTAAGGGAAAAGTAATAGTTTTCAAAAGGAGATGACAAAATAAAGGAAATCAAGTATTTGTACCCAGCCAGTAAAATGAGTGCAATTTCATACAGCATTTTGATTGTGTGATCTTTCAGAAATTTAAAAAATAAAAATGTGTGTAAAAGTAATAAAGAAGTTGATCAGTAGATAAATTGTGATTTATGTGAGAATGAGCAAATAGTGAAAAGGAATAATGCTACAGGTTGTATCTTATTCTGCACACCAGTGTGGAGAAAAAAACCCCACACAGATTTTCCCCTCACCTCAAACATAGATGTGTGACTGTGATTCCAGCCCTGGGAGCAGAATAAATATCCTGTCTTATGGCCTTCACTCCAGTGCAGCTCTGTATGTTGCTATTTGCCAAAACAGAGGGAAGTGTTGACTCGTGTGTAAACTTGTCTTCTGTAATCCTCTACTGCTCTTCTACTTAGCTGGACATTGCTAATTATTTCCCTATTAGTAATTTGCTCAGTTGTTTATTCCTACCTGACAATAATAGCCCATGCTTCTCTTTTTGAGGATGATCTTGCTTCTTCACAGATATATTAGAACTGCTTCAGATTCTGTTGCTGAAATTTGTACGTTTTGAAGGCCCATCTGACTTCAGGTGAGCTATCCTGTCTGTCTGTTGGTTCAGAGGCTTTTGTTACTCTTGTATCCAAGGTACAGAATTATGTTTATGAAAGGAAAAGAATGGATTTTAAGTGGTGAGATTTCACTATTCTTCAGGGGTAAAAACATCTTTCCAAAAAATTACTCTCGCCATTTCTGGTTGTGAATAATGTTTTGTTACATGTTTTGGGTTAACTTTGCTTTAACAAAGGCAGTTATTAGTCTGATAAATTGTACCTCTTCATCATGTAAGAGTTTCCAGGACCTGAACTTCCACCTTGGGATTCTTTGGTCATTTCTTATTTTCTGTGTTTATCAGACAGAAAGGAAGCGATTGTTCTAATTTCTAGCATATGTTGGGGTCATCTGCACTGGCAGAAGTAGAAGTGTACCTTGTCTGCTTAAAGAATAGAAAAGTTTTGGCATTTGAGTATTGAGTGTTTGTCTTTCAGCTCTAGAGAGATGCTTCATCCTCTGGAAAGTTTGTAATTGGAACTGAAACAGAAATGCAAAATGTGGAAGTCATAAAAAGAGAGGATATAATCCGGGGGGGAGGTAGCGACTGAATTTTTGGAAATCTTCTGACAATCTGTAGGTAAGAATTGCTACTTCCATGCCTTTAGTTTAGTACACCTGTTTAGTATACAAAAACTTGTGATATTGAGGAAGGAGAGAGATAAGGAAGCTTCCCTGATGATTAGCAGCCCATGATAGTATTCTGTATTAACAGAAAAGATTGCTACAGGGACTAGTGGCAAAGTAAAGCTTTTTATTCCCTAAGTTATAATGCTTTCTAAGGGAGGATGGACTTGCTCTTACTTGGTTTGTGCATAACACTGTCCTCATCTTTAAAAGCTTTTAATACTTCAGTTACTTAATCTTCCCTGTCAAGTTGAGGTTTAATGTGTAGTTTCTGCTGAAGCTATTAGTCAGAATAAAAAGTGAAAAAGAAAACTGAAAAGCTGATAGATTTTAACAATAGTAAAGCAGAGCTGTCAATTGATCTGATCAAACACAGGATTGAGACAAAGTCAAGGAAGGTGAAAATGTTGCATTTTAACTATTTACAGTTTTGTGTAAGACAGTAAAGAGAACAGGGCTAAAGTCAGAGCAAGTCAATACAAATAAACTGGAAATAATGCAAAGTTGTGTAGCGTTGCAGCAGCTGGATCATGGAATGGCTCAGTTCCCTCACTCCAGTTGTGCTAATGTAACTGCTGAGCTTTTTAAGAGTGAAGACAGATTTAGATCCTCAAAGGAGATTTAGTAGAGCTGAGTAGGTTCATGCAGTCTGACTTACAGCTAAATTTCTTCCTAGGAGTTTGTGTGGGACTATGTTCTGTATTTTCTGCTGGGAACTGTTGATAACACAACAGGGATGTTTCTGTAATTGCTGATCAAGGCTTTCATTGAACCAAGGCCTTTTCTGCCTCTCACCCCACCTGTGAGCAGGCTGGGGGTGCACAAGGAGCTGGGAGGGGGCATAGCCAGGACAGCTGATTCCATCTGACCACAGGAATACCTCAGACCATATTGTGTCATGCTCAGCATGTGAAGCTGATGTGGGGCAAAGGAGGTTGGCCAGGCTGCTGTTATTTAGGGACTGGGCATCAGTGGGGTGCTGGTGAGCAATTAGGGCATTTTTTTTGCATCATTCTTCTCACTTGTTTTTATTTCTTTGCCTCCTTATTTTTTTCTTTCGAAAAGAAATTAAATTGTCTTTATCACTGCCCATGCGTTTACCCTTCTGAGTCTCACCTTTCCTACTGGGTGAGAGAGTGGGAGAGCACCGATGTCGTGCTTAGCTGCCTACCAGATTTAGACCATGACATATGGTTTTCTGAGGTTCAGATAAATCCTGGACAGTAAAAGTAAATTCTAACTAAATATTAATTGTTTGGAATAGTAAATTGATACTGTATGTAGTTTGAAGCTCTTGAGCATAATAAAAAAAAAAAAATTAAAGAATTTTGTGTTAATTTACCCATAGTGTAAATTACCTCTCACCCATAGTGGTGAGAGGTAAATTGTGATAGTAATATGTTGTTTCAATAATTTAAATGGATATACTCCTCTCCCTTTTGGGAATTATTACATGCCTTTCCTCTGTTAACTGAAAAGAAGCAATTTCTTCTCAGTCCTGAGCAGTGGTGCTTAGAAAACTGAAAATTCTCCATTCTAATTCAAATTTCCTTTTAATTCATCTGCTCTTGGAAGCTTTCAATACCTACAAGAAAGAAAGAGATTTAGAATATTGGTTAAAGGTAAAGCATGTTGGATGATACAGTTTAAAAGACAATATGAATATTTTTACTTGCAACTTTAAGTTGATCAGGGAGGTGCTTTCATTATGATTTAGAATTACTCAGGTAAGGGAAAAGGTGCCAATAATGTGAGCTGGTTTTAAGTTTTGCCCATTTGACAGCCAAATGAAGTCATACTTCTGGGAATAAATGCAGATTTATTTTTTTTTAAGATGGTAACCTAGAAACAGTGATTGTGTCAATATTACATGCTTTCCCTTTTCAAACCTTGAATGCAAGATCGTGTTGTTGCCTCGTAGAAGAAAATATTTTCTATAATTCGTAGAGGTGAAAGAAAAAAGAGCAACTGAGTAGGATAAAGGATTTATTTTTCCTTCCATGTCAAGTGTTGTTGAGATTGGGACCAGAATAGGCATATAAGTTTTTTAAGAATGCTAGGAAAAGTCTGAGGAAGAACATAAAAAGATATGAGTTATTAGAAGACTGAAAAAAGAAATTCTTAGATATTTGGGGCTAACTTCACATTTCTTAAAAAAAACCAACAACCTAGTTAAATACCTTCTGCAGCAGAAAATCACCTGAGACTGCTTCCCCCATCCCCCCAACTCTTGCCCTACTCACATTCCTGCTTCCCATGCCACATTCTCCCAAGTTTTTTTTCTCCTGTGAGGTGTATAATAGGCCTAGGAGATAACTCTGTGTGAAGGAATGATACCAGCGAAATAAAATTCTACATAATAGGGTGAAAATAAGATCCAGGTAAATTTGATGAAACCTTGGGACGTTTCAGCGGAAGTTACGAAATGCAGTTGTGTGTTCCTTTAACTACAAAAATTGCTGAGTGTGTAAGGGTGTCCATTATATCAGCTCTCGGAAGAAAGGTAGGATTTTGTTCAGATGCTCAGAACTGCTTTGGATAAACTGATTCTAATTTATATGATTTTTTTACCATTGCTTTTATGAACTAGACTGCTGCAACAAAGTTGTGCCATCCAGGTAGATCACAGCAGCTCTGGGAGTCACAAATAAGACCAGTCTGCCTGCTTCTTTGGCACTCAGCATCACCCTGTTCAGGAATTAGGTTCATGCCACAAGTCACAGAATCAGAGAATGCTTTGGGTTGGTGATTTCTTTGAGCAGTGTTGTAAGATCCCAGTCATATACCTTTGTCCCAAGAAAGCTCCTTCTTTTTATCTGTAGTGTGCGGGATGTGAGGGAGTTGAGAAGATGGGTAAGAACAAAAAGTAATGGAGAGGAAAGTAAAGGGAGGTGATTGGGTTTCGGTGGGTGAGAATTGGATCCTGTCACCATGTGAGTGAGCAGGAAACTCCGATTGTCCTACATCTGACTCTGTAAAGTGGAATGGTTTGAGATTTGTATGTAGGATTGTGGTCAAGAAAGTGGATAATTTCTGAATGCTCAAATTACAGTACTAAGTTGTGAACACCTGTATGCATGCATCTGCTCTAATCTTGAACATTGTCTTACTTCTGGAAAAACAGTTTGGGGGTTTTTTTTCCTTTGAAAGAGGACAAGTTGGTTAGGCAAGTCAGATGGATTGGGTCTAGGTTCTGAGGCTTCCGGTGCTACAGCCTGTAATTTGCTGTTTCTAGGGAGTGGTATTTTTAGTGCAGTATTTGTAGAAGAAGAAGCATTCTACTCTGCATCTATTATTAAGGCAGTGCCTGGGAAAGGCCGGACCTACCTGTTTGCATACTGTGCATCTTAGGAGATGGTCTCTCCTGTTTTTGTTCTTTTTAATCCAGCTCTGGTAATCTAAAATACTTTCCTGCTAATGATCCCTCTGAGGAGTTCAGGTAATTGGAGGTGTGTGTAGAAGTGAGTTACTGGGTTGTGTGCCCTACCTTAGTTATTTAATCACGAGTGCATTGCATCTCTAAGATGGTCAGTTTTGCAGAACTGCATATTGTCAGTGGATATTGAGTGTTTTTGAACAGGACCACTAAACTAAGCTTCTGAAGAAGGATAGAGCAAAACCCACTTTTAAGGCTGAGTTAGCCTGGAAGTACCTGAGAGAGGATATTGTGTCTCACGAGCTTGATTGCCTGAAGGGTTTCTGGTAAATTTGGTGTCTGGATTCAGATGCATAATTGTAGCTCATTTTAAGCAGGCAGGCAGGCAAATAACTAAATGCATACATCCTTCTCTTAATTTGAGATATTTTATATCTAGGTAAAAGTTAACCTCTTAGGAAAACCAAATGTGACATCCATACTTTCATGTGGCATCCAGTGATGAAAGCTTTCACTGTGTTGATCCAATAAATCTTCCCCAGGGCAGAGGAATAATAACTGCATGCTGTATCTTTTAAGAACAGCTGAATACAAGATGAGATACTCTGAATGCGTTATTTGGAACAAAAAAATGTAGTGCATTGCACAGATTTTGCATGCTGTGAGCATCAATTTTTTAAAAATAAAACATTTACATTCAGAGATTTTGACTCTCTTGAGCGGACATGTGCTTTTGAACAATACTGGTGTTTTTAGAGAGCAAAATTAAGAATTAGACAATTGTGTTGTATTTTTACCTTGTTTATTTCAACCACTTGAGGACAGATTTCTGCATTGCTGTTGTGATTTACTAATCTAACTGCTGTGTTCTGCTCTTCAAGTTTGGACGTTGCTGCTTTTTGTCAGCTCCCTCTGGCAGTCTGCTGACCAGCCACATTGTAATCAGTTGAAATTTAAGAATTGTTAGAGCTTACTTGAATAAAATTACCTTGTTGGTTGACTTAGTAGAGATATTAACTACTGGCTGACTTGTTAAAAAAATTGCCAGTGCTATTTTTCCTGCATTAGTTGCAAAGTGGGGTTTTTTTGTTTGTTTGTTTGTTTTTTGTGAAGATTGATTGGGTTTTCACCTTTCTAAGGAGTGCTATAGTTAAAAGCAAAATTGCCATTTTAGCTTCTGTAGTTTAATATGGGATGGGCACATTTGGACAAATACCTGAAAATATTTTCAGGGAAGATTATATGTAATCAGACTACATAAAGCTTCATAGATAAATGAGGAAAAAAGACTAAGATACCTGCTAATAGATATTCTCTTTTTAAGGGCAATGAAGAGATTAATTTCACAGCCAGGAAATAAAAAAGCTTTCATATTTTTGTGAAGTTTGTAATACTCTATATTAATGGTGGCAAAATTTATCTTCCTAGTCTTTAATGTCAACTTTTTAATTTGGTGAGTTTCAAGAACAGAAACTTACTACTTTGTTAATTCCATATATAGTAAAGATTAAAAGTGACTTAGGGGGACACAAAAAAGCCACTGTACATTTGAAATACCGAACTTCTAATTGCATTTGTACAAGCAATAGCCTTTGGATATGAACCCTTTTGTTAGATTATTAACAGCTGATACTACTGCTGTATGAAAATCTGTCTTTATTACAATGTTGGCAGCTTTTCCCCACTGTTTTTCCTGTTCCTTTGTGCTACTTAACCCATATTTTCTTGGTAAAAGGAGTAAGTTCCAATAATATAAAAAACTGCTGTAAGAAGAAGCTGTTATATGGCAATGCTTTCTGTGGCTATTCCTGAACACGCTACCTAGTATTAAGAATAAAGCTTTCTCCCTGGGAGTTGGGCCTTTTGCTTTAGAAGGTGTGATGTGATTAATTCTACTTTTCTGGTCACAAAGTTAAGCTATCTAGGGCTGCCTGAATTGTTCTGAATAATCTGAAGGATTTTCCATTACAGTGCTTGCAAATCTTTTCTGAAAGCTGATACATTTTGTGTCAGATTTATGTGTAGAAGTGCAAAAAAAAAAGTTTGACATCTGGACTTGATCTTTAAATTTTTTTTGTAAAGTGTCTGGTATTTACTACAAATATGTTAAGGTAGAGGTAAGATCAGTATTTGCCAACATTATTTCGTGTCAATGAAGACTGTTACATTCTTGTATAACATGCAGGCCCAGAGCACTTCTTAATAATTGTACTGTTGGTAAAGCTCAAGACTTTAGAGAAATGGAAAATTCCTTCCTAAAAAAGTACAGCAGAGTTTTAGAGAAGAGGAAAATTACAAAGCCATATTGTTGTCTAATGAGTACCTGTCTTTTTCTTTCCTTTATAATCTCACGTAGCAATGGGCCAGGCAGCTGCCAAACCTGCAGGCCCAAAACCTGCAGGAATATATCAGGCTATTACAGGTAGAAGATGTGGAAGAAGACATGCCTGCGTTGGCTTTACACCACTTTCAAATAGTCAAGATGGAGATGCACATAAACCCAACGAAGACTGCAAACAATTAGACTTGGAGGATGTTCAGGAAGAGAGTTCTTTATGTATGTACCTATCTTTGTGTATGTGCTTTTTAGTTGCAAACTGGGATGCTTGTGGGTGGAGGAGGAAGACACATAGAGAAATGTGGAGGGAAGAGAACAGCCACTTAAATAATGTGTAAAGTACATTGCATATGTCTTTATTTTGTCTTCATACTGAATTTCATTTTACAAAGTGTAGTCTAATCTAGGCTGTGTGATTTTGCCTGAATGAGTTAATGCATTCTAACAAACTAGATAATAGTGTATAATTCAAATTATTTTGTCTTCATATCAAATTAAAAATCACATTTGGAAGAGAGTGCCTATTCTAACCTTCTTTTTGGAACTAGGCTACAAAATATTTGCTGTGTCATAGACCAGGTTGTTCTGTCTTTGTCAGACCTACTGTAAATACATTGGGAATTAGTTTAAGCCTATTAAAAAAATCTTTAAAAGTTGTTTTTTGTTTGTTTGTACCAGTTACACCACTTGTCTTTCTTGTTTAATGAATATTGGATGCTAATAGCACAGGTGATATTTGCCTCAGTTCCTGTACTGTCTGGGATAGATGAGGAGTTAAATAAAGAGTGGCGTAAAAAAACCCAACTCCTCAACAGATGGCTAAAGGATTGGTGCCACCGTCAAAATTTTGGTTTCTTTGACCATGGGGCAAACTCCATGGTACCTAGTTTCTTAAAATCGGATGGGATTCATCTTTCTAGGAAGAAGAAGAGGACTGTAGCCCATAAGTTAGCAAGGTTGATCAGGAGGGCTTTAAACTAGGTTTGAAGGGGGAAGGGGTTAGAACCGGGCTCTCCAGTGATCAGCCTAAGGATGGAAAGCCTGAGTTAAGAATTAAATCAACAGCCCACCTGAAGTGCATGTACACTAATGCATGCAGTATGGGCAACAAACAAGAGGAGCTGGAAGCCACTGTGCAGCAGGAAGGCTATGATGTAGTCGCCATCACAGAAACGTGGTGGGATGACTCGCATGACTGGAGTGTTGCCATGGATGGCTACAAGCTCTTCAGAAAGAACAGGCAGGGTAGGAGAGGTGGAGGGGTGGCTTTATATGTTAGAGAGTCTCTAACTTGAGATCAGCAACGATAAGGTTGAGTGCCTGTGGACCAGAATCAGGGGGAAGACCAACAAGGCCGACATCATCATAGGTGTCTGTTACAGACCGCCCAACCAGGATGACGAAGGGGATGAAATATTCTACAAGCAGCTGGCGGATGTCTCGAAATCGTCAACCCTTGTCCTTGTGGGTGACTTTAACCTGCCGGATATCTGCTGGGAGCTCAATACTGCAGAGAAGAGGCAGTCTAGGAATTTCCTGGAGTGTATAGGGGACAATGTCCTTCATCAACTGGTAAATGAACCTACCAGGGGTAAGGCCCCGCTAGACCTGCTGTTTACAAACAGAGAAGGGCTGTTGGGAGATGTAGTGGTTGAAGGCCGCCTGGGAAATAGTGACCATGAAATAATAGAATTTTCAATACTCAGAGATTCAAGGAGAAACAACAATAAAACCTCTACGCTGGACTTCCGGAGGGCAGATTTTGACCTATTCAGAAGTCTAGTCCAGAGCATACCCTGGGAAACAACCCTTGAAAACAAGGGGGTCCAGGAGGCATGGATGTGCTTCAAGCAGGAAGTTTTGAGTGCACAGGAACAGGCTGTACCGGTGTGCCGAAAGGCAAGCCGGTGGGGAAGACAACCAGCTTGGTTAAACAGGGAGATTCTGAAGGAAATCAGGGATAAAAAGAGAGTTTACCGACTGTGGAAGAAAGGGCTGGCTACTTACGAAGAATTCAGGAAGACAGCTAGATCATGCAGAAAGAAAATCAGGGATACAAAAGTGCAATTTGAAGTTAAATTAGCCACTTCTGTTAGGGATAACAAAAAGTCCTTCTATAAATACATTAATAACAAAAGGAGGGGCAAAGAAAACCTCCATTCTTTGAGGGACTTGGAGGGAAACATAGTTAATAGAGATGAGGAGAAGGCTGAGGTACTTAACACCTACTTTGCCTCAGTTTTTACCAGTAGGACAGGTGGCCCTCAAGGCAACTGGCCTCTGGAGCTGGTAGACAGAGATAGGAAACCAAATAGTCCCCTTGTATTCCAGGAGGAAATAGTTAGTGACTTACTGAGTCATCTGGATCCTAACAAGTCTATGGGACCAGACGGGATCCATCCTAGGGTGATGAGGGAGCTGGCAGAAGAGCTTGCCAAGCCGATCTCCATCATCTTCCAACAATCCTGGCTCACTGGGGAGGTCCCAGATGACTGGAAGTTGGCAAATATCACCCCAATCCATAAAAAAGGTTACAAGGCTGACCCGGGTAACTACAGCCTGTCAGCCTGACCTCACTGCCTGGCAGAGTTATGGAGCAGATTATCCTGTGTTAAATCACACAGCAGCTACAGGATGGACAAGGGATCAGACCCAGCCAACATGGGTTTAGGAGGGGCAGATCCTGTTTGACCAACCTGATCTCCTTTTATGATCAGGTGACCCACCTGGTGGAGGAGGGGAAGGCTGTGGATGTGGTCTATCTGGACTTCAGCAAAGCCTTTGACACTGTCTCCCATAGCATACTCCTGGAAAAGCTGGTAGCCCACGGCTTGGACAGGGGCCCTCTGTGCTGGGTCAGGAACTGGCTGGAGGGCCGGGCCCAGAGAGTGCTGGTGAACGGAGCTGCATCCAGCTGGCGACCGGTCACCAGTGGTGTTCCCCAGGGGTCAGTGCTGGGCCCAGTCCTTTTTAACATCTTTATCGATGATTTAGATGAGGGGATTGAGTCCACCATCAGCAAATTTGCAGATGACACCAAGTTGGGAGGGAGTGTCGACCTGCCAGAAGGCAGGAGGGCTCTGCAGAGGGATCTGGATAGACTGGAGAGATGGGCTGACTCCAATGGAATGAAGTTCAACAAGGCCAAGTGGCGGGTCCTGCACTTTGGCCACAACAACCCCCTGCAGCGCTACAGGCTGGGCACAGAGTGGCTGGAAAGCAGCCAGGCAGAAAGGGACCTGGGGATGCTGATCGACAGGAGGCTGAACACGAGCCAGCAGTGTGCCCAGGTGGCCAAAAAGGCCAATGGCATCCTGTCCTGTATCAAAAATAGCGTGGCCAGCAGGAGCAGGGAAGTGATCCTTCCCCTGTACTCTGCATTGGTGAGGCCACACCTTGAGTATTGTGTTCAGTTCTGGGCCCTTCAGTTCAGAAAGGATATTGAGGTGCTGGAGCAGGTCCAGAGAAGAGCAACGAGGCTGGTGAAGGGACTGGAGCATAAGTCTTATGAGGAGAGGCTGAGGGAGCTGGGGTTGTTTAGTCTGGAGAAGAGAAGGCTTAGAGGTGACCTCATCACTCTCTTCAACTACCTGAAGGGAGGTTATAGCCAGGTGGGGGTTGGTCTCTTCTCTCAGGCAACCAACAATAGGACAAGGGGACACGGGCTCAAGCTCTGCCAGGGGAGGTTTAGGATAGATGTTAGGAAGAAATTCTTTACAGAGAGGCTTATCAGGCATTGGAACGGCCTACCCAGAGAGGTGGTGGATTCACCATCCCTGGAGGTTTTTAAAAAGAGATTGGATGTGGCCCTTAGTGCCATGATATAGTAATTGGAGTTGGATCAGGGGTTGGACTTGATGATCTTGGAGGTCTTTTCCAACCCAACCTATTCTATGATTCTATGATTCTATTTCCCAAAATATCTTCTTTGACTTCAAAATATCTTCTGAATAATAACTTAATATAGGAATACAGAATGGCTTCTTGGATTAGAAATACAGTCCCATTTCTCTGGCTGAAGTTTTCAGCAAAAAAACCCCCCACATTTGATATAACCTCAGATCTTCCAAAGTGCCTGGGGAAAAAGGACTTGGGAGTGCTGGTTGACACCAGCTAAACATGAGCCAGCAATGCCCATGTGGCCATGGAATCCTGGCCTGCATCAGCAATAGTGTGGGAGCAGGAACAGGGAAGTGACTGCCCCCCTGTGCCACTGGTGAGGCACCTTGAGTGCTGTGTCCAGATTTGGGCCCCTCACTATAAAAAGGACACTGAGGTGTTGGAGCATGTCCAGAGAAGGGCAGCAGAGCTGGGAAGGGTCTGGAGCACAAGTCTGAGGAGCAGCTGAGGGTGTTTAGTCTGGAGAAAAGGAGGGTCAGGAGGGACCGTCTCACTCTCTACAACTACCTCAGAGGAGGTTGTAGTAAGGTGGGTGTGGGTCTCTTCTGCCAAATAACAAGGAATAGGACAAGATGAAGTGGCCTCAGGTTGTACCAGGGGAGGTATAGGTCGAATATTAGGGAAAATTTCATCACCAGAGAGTTTGTAAAGAATTGGAACAGGCTGCCCAGAAAAGTGATGGAGTCAGCAATTCCTGGTGAGGAATGCTGGAGGTATTTAAAAGGTGTGCATACATGGTGCTTAGGAACACAGTCTGGTGGTGGACTTGGCAGTGGTAGATTTATGGTTAGACTCAATGATCTTAGAGGTCTTTTCCAACCTGACTGATTTTGGGATTCTACAGAGTAGCGTTTTTTCCTCCTTCCTTTATAAGACTGTTTTGAACTGTTTTCTTCTAATTTTTTTTTTATAATAGCATAGTTTAGCTTTGTCATATACTCCTGTTCTTGTAGTCTTGTGTGATGTAGATTGTCTTGGGGTGGTTTTAATTTTTTGTAATTTGTATATTTTTACTGTTGTCTATGCTTCTTACATTTTCTACACTTTCATTGAGTTAAAGGTTTATCTCCTGTAAGGAAGTGTTGACATTTATGGAACCTTCCTTCTGTCTCTGTATAATGCTACCACATTTCTTGTTTCAGCTACACAGACACGAGCATACAGTTATTTTAGGGGCCACTAGAAATATGCAGTTTAAGAGTGTATTATCTCCTTGTTCTTAATACAGTTGCTCTATATGTAAACTAGACTAACTACAAAATGCTAAATTTCCTTGTATGTGTTACAACTCTTCAGATTTATCTTTGAGAAACATTTTGGATTGATTTACTTTCTTTACCTGAACTGGGTTACATTTTTCCCCAGTTGATAACTTATTTTTGTATGGGTAGGTATTACCTAAAATGCTGCATATTTCCTTCCTAATTGGCATGACATTTTATATAGAATTGTAGTATCGTTGAATATCCTGAGTTGGAAGGGGACCCACAAGGATCATCAGAGTTCAACTCCTGGCCCTTCACAGGTCATTCCAAAAATCACATAATAGAGAGTATTGTCCAAATGCTTCTTGAACTGTAAGGCTTGGTGCTGTGACCACTTCCCCGGGGAGCCTGTTCCAGTGCCCAGCCACCCTCTGGGTAAAGCAACGTTTCCTAATATCCAGCCTAAAGCTCCCCTGACACAATGTCAGGCTGTTCCCTTGAGTCCTGTCACTGGTCACCACAGAGAAGAGATCAATGCCTGCCCCTCCTCTTCACCTTGGGAGGAAGGTGCAGACTGCAGTCAGGTCTTCCTTCAGTCTCCTCTTCTTCAGGCTGAACAGACCAAGTGCCCTCAGCTGCTCCTCATATGAAGGTACCTCTAGACCCTCACCATCTTTATGGCCCTCCTTTGGACACTCTTTATTGTAGTGCCCAAAACTGCCACAGTATTCCAGGCGAGGCTGCCCCGGGTCAGAGCAGAGCAGGACAGTCCCCTCCCTCGCCTGGCTGATGATGCTTTGCCTGATGCCCCCCAGGATACGGTTGGCCCTCCTGGCTGCCAGGGCACTGCTGACTCATATTCAACTTGCCATTGACCAGGACCTCTAAGTCCCTTTCCATTGGGCTGCTTTCCAGCATCTCATTAAATCTCGCTTTTAGTATCATCCGCAAACTTACTTGATGTACCTTTGAGTTGTGATTCCAAGTTGTTTATGAAGATGTGGAAGAGCACTGGCCCTGGAATGGAGCCCCACTAGTGACAGGTCACCAGTCTGATGTCACCCCATTCACTATAACCCTTTGTGCCTCACCCATCAGCCAGTTGCTTACCCACCACACAATGTGTATGTCCAGCTGTGAGCTGGGAATTTTGTCCAGAAGAATCGTCTGAGAGACAGCATTGAAAGCTTTATTGCTTGCAATCAAACAACTCCATCAACTGGCTTCTCTTGATCCAGTCGGTGGGTTGTCTTGTGACAAAAGGAAATTAGGTTTGTCCAGCAGGACATTCCCCTCATGAAGCCGTGCTGGCTGTAACCAATGGCTGCATTGTCCTTCAAATGTTTATCAGTACATCCTGGAATCGTATTCTCCATAATTTTACCAGTCAGAGTGAGACTGACAGGCCTGTAGTTTCCAGGGTCATCCTTCCTGCCCTTCTTGAAAATTGGGAAATTGTTTGCCAGCTTCCAGTTGACTGGAATATCCCTGTGATTCCCAAAACCATTAAAAAATTGTTGAGAGAGGCCTTGTGATGACATCAGCCAGCTCTTTGATTATCCTTGGATGAATCCTATCAGCCCCCCACAGATTTACAGAGATCCAGCTGGAGCAAGCAGCAGATCCCACACAAGTTCAGTGTCAACCGGGAGTTTATTGCTCTCACAGTCATGGTCCTCCAGCTTGGGGCACTGGACCCCCTTAGCCCATCATCTCTATTGAAGATAGAGGCAAAGAGAGATTTAAACACCTCTGCCTTGTTTATGTCCCTGTCTGTGAGGTGACCATCCTCATCCTGCAACATGCCAATGTTATTTCTGCACTGCCTTTTCCTCTTGCTGTATTTAAAAGAGCTGTTTTTATTGTCCCTTGCACTTCTTCCCAGCTTCAACTCCAGCTGAGCTCTGGCCTCTTGAATTTTCTCCCTACAGTGATGAGCAGCCTCTCTGTATTCCTTCCACATTACCCCACCTTTCTTCCACTGGGCATACACCTTTTTTTTTTTTTTTTTTTGCTTTAGCTTCAGAAGAAGATCCTTGCTCAGCCAAACCAGCCTTCTGCTTCCCCTGCTTGACTTCAGACATCTTGGAATTGCCTGTTTCTGTACCCTTAGGAGGTGGTGCTTAAAGAGTGACTGGCACTGGTGGACTCTAGCACCTTCAGAGGGATTTTCCTGCGGGACCTCACTAACTTTTTTCTGAGCAGCCTGGAGTCTACTTCCCTCCTGTCCAGGGTTGAAGTTTTGCTGGCACTTTTCTTTCTGTCACCTGAGATTTTACACAGGATCACGTTGTGTTTGCTGTGGCCAAGACGGCTGCCAGTCCCCACGCATGAGACCCTCTCTGTTAACAAGCAACAGCTCAAGGAGGGCACCTTTCCTAGTCAGCCCTTTAGTACCTGTACCATGAACTTATCATCCAGGTGTTTAAAGAATCTAGGAAACTGGAATATAGGTAGAAGGAGATATCCTTGGAAATATTAAAAATATGACTGGATTTGGTCCTTGGTAACCTACTGTACGTGAATCTGAGCAAGCGGAGTGGACTGGATGATCTCCAGAGGGGCCTGCCTGCCAGCCTTGGCTGTTAGTGGTTTAGTAAAGGAGCTTCAAGATTTTAATTAGATAAAATGTAATGATACAGTATTACTTCCTGGAAGCCAGACTCCTAGAGCTGAGAGGCATAGCTCTCATAAGATTCCAGTGCCACGAATTCACCAACCTAGTCATGGATAACTATTTAGATGAGAGATGAGACTTTTTTTTTTCCTAATTTTTTAAGGTCTTGTAGTTATGTTTCTAAACCCCTAACTATTGACTTAAAGTGCTTTCAAGTTATGCAAACCATTTTGTGTTCAAAAATAGATTGGACAATTGCCTTGGATAGGAGTTTACAAATTACTTGAACAGAGGATTGATTTTGTAGTAGCAGCAGTATACATGTTTTAACTCTTGCTGCTAAATTTGATGTTTATTGTCCCTTTATGCAAGAGGTGTTGTAGTGTCATATAACTAAACTGCATTTGTGATGAGGCAACTACTAGCTGCAATACAACATTCAACCCTGCTATTATTTTCTTATGTGGAGTTACACTCAAAACTGCACATGCAAAATACAGTGCTCTTAGTATGTAATTTATAGTACCAATAAGTGACTTTATCTGAGTGTGGTAGAAGGCACAGTTTAGCCAGTGTAGTGGTTTGAACCAGGTTTTCCCCCTGAAGCTAAGAAAATGGTAAAACCCCAGGGGGTGGTGACCCCTGGAAGTTTTGTCCAATGGGCACTTCTGCGAAATGTAAACATACCACAAGGAAACGGAAGAGAAGGTTAGTTGTAGTTGGGTTGTAGAAGTGGTAGCCATGTTCTGAGGCCACAAGGAGCAGAGGGCAAGAGCCCCTGGGGGGGGCTTTGGCCCCCAGCCCCCAGCGGGGACCTGGAACAGCATAAAGCTGGGCTAGGTGCCTGCAGTTGAGAGCTAAGAAAGTTTTCTCCACCGTGAGTGAGCAGAGACAGCAGCGGCAGAAGCAGCGTCCAGAAGCGATGGCAGAGAGCCAAAAAGATAAGAAGCGGCAGAGGCATTACAGCCAAGCAGGAGAGACACAGTGTTGTCCGAAAAAGAAGCTAGCAGCAGCCAAAAGAGAGAACTGAGTTCTACAGAGAGGAAGTTTGGGGGTAAGAACTGCAAAACTCCCCTAAACTTTCTTTGAGATCCCTCCAAAACGGAGGGGGTGGACTCTTACTGATTAGAGGTCCTAAATGGAGTAAAGGAGCTAAGAAGCTTGGTTGTCCTGAGAGCTCAGCCAGGACGGTGTGTAGGAGGTTGACCTTGGAGCCCTCCCTTGCTGCAAGCTACAAAGAAGCTCGCAGCCATCTTGAGGCAGAGCACAGAAGCTCTGCAAGGGGCTTGAGTCTCCTGAAGATACCAGACCGTCACGAAGACCCACTGTGCTCGTGATATGACTGTGGTGGAACAACCTTTGTCTGGGGTGAACGTAACCCACGGAAGACCCCTCGCTTGGAAACGACACGGCTGAGTGGGGGATACCCCCCTTGTGAGTGCTGGCAGAAATCCAGCTATCAGCTGCTGCATGTGAAGAAGACAGATGACTGCTGCCTTGAAGATACTGCTGCTTTGAGACTGAAGAAGGGATCTTTCCTTCTTCCCTCCTGGACTTTTATTTGGGGGGAGAAGAGATCCGATCCATTGTAAATACTTATGTCATGGTAGAGATAGTTGAGATCGTGTGTATAATGTATTATAATATTTGTTTGTACAGTCATTGTAATATATTCCCTTTCCCCCTATTTTGAGTCTTGTGTGTTTGTCTGGAAAACACATCTCACATTGGATTGAGATGTGACAGGGGGCTAGGACTAGGGAATTAGAATTTTGGGGATCTCAAACCATAACACCAGTTAATGAATTAATAGTCTAATATGGAGAGAAATGGTTTTTTGAGTTTTCCTGTTATCTTATAATTCCCTTCTTTATAAACAGTGCAAAAATTCTGCTTATGAACATATTCCTTTAATACTATTTTTTCCTATCACATCCTGAGCTGGTACTGTATAATTTAGGTCTATTTCTGTAGACTTAGTTTGTATAAAAGAGAAAGGAAATGTATATTAGTGAAGAATGACTGCATCTCTGATAAATGTTTCTGTCTATCATTTTATGCTGCGGTCCTAGTAAATTTTCCCTTCTTTTTATTGAGCAGTTGTTGTAGATGAGAATATTTCTGTTTGTTTTGATTATTCCAATGTATTTTTTTCTTACAGCTTTCTCTGAAAGTTCCAGACCACTGGTTCAAGTTCCTCCTGCTCTATTAGATAAGCCTTTGTCAGAAAATGGTGGAACTAGAGAACTCATTTGCCAAAATGTATCAAGCCAAACTTCTGAAGCGAACACACCACTATTTTCTGTAGTCTGTACTGGTCCAGAAGGCAATCAAATCTCACAGAACTTTATGAATCCTGATGAAAATTCTGAGGACTTTGCAGAAAACACATCTGGAAGACATAATGATTTGAATGGTAAGAATGGAATTGCTTTTGTAAACATTGACTCTTATGAGCCAGATAGCAGTGACGGAGAGGAAGATGATGCTCAAGACAAATGTTCTTTGGTAAAAGAAGCATCATGTCTCATTCAGGGACAATTAGATAACATACTTTCTCAGTGCGAAAAAGACATGGAGCGTCTTATGGACTTACAGTCACAACTGTCTTCTTTCAACCACGGTGTTTCTAGAGAAAATTGTGAAGGAGCAGGACCAATGCCTTTGGCATGTCCAAACAATAGGACACTTATATCCACTGAAGATCAAGCTATACCAAAAAGTAACCTGAGTGGTACCAGTTGTGAAGCACAGCAGATAAATCATATACTGGATGTTGGAATCGGAACCCCTGTTGCTGATGTACTAAATGTCAGTGATGGAAAGGCTGACCAAGAAAAGTCATCTGAGCCAGTAGTGAGACCTAAAATTAGAACACGAAATACTGCAAACCAGCTTGAGAGAGAAAAGCAGCTCCCTAATGATGAAGAGCAAAAACCACTTTCCTCTTCCTGGAAGAGAATTGGAGTTGCTGATTGCCAGCAATGCCATCCTGAGTGTCCCTTGAGAGACAGCGAAGAGATAAGTTCTGGTGTGTTCTTTCTCTCAAGAGTGTACAGTGATCAAAAGAACACAGAAAGAGACCTAGGAAAAAATGCAGCAGCTCAAAACCAAAATGTTCCAGATGATAGCAGTTTTTGGGATGAATTTGAAAACTGCAACAGATACTTCTTAATGTCCCATGAAGATGAAGACAGGTAGAATTTCAATTTTATATCTCTTTTAGTGTTGAATCTTTTGTGTAAATCATGTGCAAAACTGAATAATATGTTAGCAAATGGGACATGAAAACTTGAGACATTTCAGAATATGATGAGATAACAAGATACCAACATTTCCTTTCAGTTCTTCTTTACTCTTCTGGTCATGTAAAAAGCCTTTCCTTATATCTAGCATTAGAGCATCTTACCACTAAGGAATATTACTTGTTTATGGGTCTTTGAAAGTTCTCTTCAAGAGTTAGTCTTTTCAGAATTTGGTTTTTTTGCCATGTAATCTCAGTATTCTGCATGGCAGCCTATATATGTTCTTGTCTCCAGCCCTTTGAAAGAAATTGTTCTTCCTTGTAATATCTGAAGAATAACTTGATGGGGTTGCTTATATCCCTTTTTTAATGGAAATTCTTCAGACTAATAGGAGTTTCCAGAAATTCGCCTGGTCTTACAGTATGCTTAGATAATCTTTTTAAATATATATTAAAAAACTTGACCAAACAAAATAAATCCAAAACAAACAATAAAACTTTCAACCCAAAACCAGGCAAAGAACCAAATAAACAAATGGTTCTAAGATGTTAGTATTCAGCTTTAGTTGGTGCAATTTCAGATGCATTAGACTACCTATCAGAATTTCTTAATAGATGTGATTTCTGTTGTAAAGTAATCCATTAAAGTAGCCCAAAGTTAATGAATATTCTTATTTCCATCACTTTTCTTAGTCATCAAAATTGTGATAGAAAAACATATTCCTGCCTCAAATTAAAATTCTTAAATATAATCTGTGGAACTTCTTTATTCTTGTAATACTTACAGAGCATAATGTGCAGTTTTTTGGAAGTACTTAGATACTATGGAAGTTCTTAGATAGAACTTTTATTGGCATGTACTTGTAATATGAGGTATAAGGAGGGTTAATTTAAAGTGAGTTTGTGAGGTAACAGATTGAAAACTGAGCTGTGGATATTGTGGATTGCCATATAAAATGTGCTCTGTTAAGCACATTTGCTATTCACGTATTTTTCTCTAACTTTTGAAGTGACGTGGTTAGTTGACTATATTTTGAATTTCAGCAGGTGTCAACTATCACTGTATTGAGTGAACCTTCTAAGTGGTATTACCAATGGTAGCAGTAGTTCATCTTTCTGGAGGTTCTGCTACCATTATGATTTTAGCTGCCCACAACTTGTTATTTACTACCCTTTTCCATGTGGTGGCTGAGCAAATTGACTTGGAAAAAACTCCCTGCCGTTCATCTGTTTGGACTAGTGAATTATATAATTTGTAGAGAGTCATCTGTTGTATCTTTTTATGGTTGAAAGGAAAGGATCATTCTATATGGCTTATATGTTGTGAGAGCTTTTACTTTAAGTTTGGCTAAGAGGCAAGGTTGACTTTGCTTATTATTTGTTAATCAAGCACTGGTGTTCTCAGTGTCACTGCTGCTGTTTCTGTGTTCTGGGAGAAAGATGTGTATAGTGGGTCTGGGTTTCTGTTCTTGTTTCATGTACTCTGCAAATGTGGAGAGGGAAGAACAAAACATTTTTGCAAAGTAGAATCAGCAGAATTCTTGATTTATTTTTTTTTCCTTACAGACTAGTTGTTTATTTAATCCATTCTTTATGTATACCCGACTTTTAATACACCTATAAATAGCACAAAATTCATTTCTCCTAGAAAAAAAAATCATCTATATTGAATGCAATGTTGACAGAAAGGTAGAAAATCGCAGAACATTTATTTTGTTTCCCCTAAAGTAGTGTTTAAATTCATGCCCTGTCGCCTTGTTTAAATGGCAGCTCAGAATGCAGCGATGGAGAATGGGCTACGGCTGTGCCTAGCTGTTTGACTGCTGCGGAACAAGAGCAGTCCTCAAGTGAAGAGAGCTGGGATACTCTCCCAGGCAGGGAGGAATGTGAAGTGCAGAGCATCAACTGTGATGTAAAAGAAGAGAACACAAACTGCGGTGTACAAGAAGGGTATGGCTTTATTTCATATAGCTGACTTCCTGTAGCTTCTAAGTTCAGCACCATCAGGGTCATCCCCATGACACTACACCAAGTGACATCTATTCTAAAAGCAGTTACTGTACTAGCAGCAGTCATTATAACAATTTGAGTAGTTGAGTGTATTTCAAATTAGGGAAAAAATGGCATTTCATGGAAACAATTCTGTTTAATGAAAGAGAAATAATGAGGGCATTGGCATGTAGTGTCTATATGTTTTAATAAATTTGATGTAGTGACTTTAGAAAGCCAGATTAGGAAAATTAATTGTTAAATGTTACATAAAAATCTTCTGACACTGCTTAGTACTCCTTGAAAAGCACTTGTTTAACTCTTTGCTTTATTACATCTCCTATTCCACTGCTGCTCCCTGTTTTCTGCAGCTCTATCAATGATTCAAGCAAACTTGAATTACTTGCTTGCTGTAGTTCATACAACTTATTTATTTTTTCCGGTCATTCAGTGCTTTATAAATTGTAGCTGCAAGTCAAAATTTGTAGCTATATGGAGCCAAGGAAAGTGTTTGGTTTTGGTTTTTTAACTTAAGCATCTAATATTGACTTTAGCTTGTGTCTTTACAAAGCAAAAAGACCACACCTAAGTGATGTTTCAGCTTCTTCCACTCTTGACAGCACCTGTTGCCAAGCAGTTCACTTTGCTGTTAATTCTTTTTTAGTATTGGTATCCCTTGAGGTTTGGAGAATTAGTGTGACTTGATGAAAACTTTACAGATACCATCTCTTTCAGAATAACAACAATGCAACTGTGTAATCTTTAGCTTTCTTTGATGTGAACAGCCTGGAAATGTACACAGTTTTAATGTGATTCCTGTTTATTTGCCCATTTACAAGGAAAATGGGACTCACAGCCCTGTGGCTGTAAATAAACATCCAGGTGACTTGTGCTCCTCTAGAATATCAAGGAATGAGATGATACTTTCTCCTTATGCAGATAGGAAATACCTTATGTAGTACCTTATGCAGGTACTACTTCTCTTGCAAGTAGTACCTCTTTGCATTGTATTCAGGCCAAGCTTTGCCATGAAGACTGTTCCAAGGTGTCAAGACAGTCTTTCTTTTTGATAAATAAGAAAATATTTAGTACCAAATTTACTAGCCCTGGCAGGGCTGTACTGCTGGCCTTGAGCATTAGACAAATAGCTTTGCTGTAGAACCATGGGTGTTACTAGGTTCTGACTCTGGAGCTGATAACACTGGGAGTTTCTTGAATTTTTATGGCAAACCGTAAATTTTAATCTGGGACTCTGCTGTCTGGGAAACAGACTCTTCAGTCTTTGTAGTATGTTTAGCTATTGTTCACATATGTTTGTAAATTCTCTTAGCTTTTTAGTTTTACTTTTTCATTTATTTATTTGAAGGGAGGAAGGTGAGATTCTTTGGTTACCGTACCGAGAAGAAGTAGAAAGTAGCAGTGATGAGGAAAATGATCCAGTTAATGATTTCATGCATCCTGCATTCTTCCCGTTCAATGGAAATAACAGCTTTGAAGATGACTCCAGTGTGAGTGAAGACCTGGATGTGGAGTGGAGGTATGCATTTGATAGTTGTCTGCCATAATTTCAGAGGTTTTGTACTTGCTATTTGGCTTTTTATGTAAGATGTCAAAAGTACTCATGGCTATCAGTATGCAGTTGCTTCAAAGTCTTATAATCTCAGTTTTAAGGTTTAAAGTACTTCAAGTGCTAGGTGTCTTCTAATGAGAGAAAAAGGATGTAGATTTGCTCAGTCAGTCTGTGATTTGAGAAAATTCTGGTGCCCTAAATATTCAGGGGATGGTTGTACCTTTTCAATTAATTTTCAAGATAGTAAGTATAATTAATTTTCAAGTGGAAGTATAACAAAAGTAGAGCAACATAAATGTAATCAGCATTCAATCAGCCCTGTTTTATAATTGGTCTTTTCCTCCTTTGAAACTGATGTAGGTTAGACATTATAAGCCTATTTTATTTCTTTGAAATGCCATGCAATTACCTGATATTATCATAATTTTGAATGCTTCAATCGATTTTGTCATTAGATTGCTGAAGAATATTGCAGAATATTTATTACAAAATGCTGCAAATACCAGGAGTAAAGTGATTTGAGGCACGTTCACAGTCTAATCCTAGAAAGTGTTTGTTTTAAAGTAAGAGTGAGCTAGACAGAGTGCTTTCCAGTAAGAAAATTAACACTTGCTCTCTTCTGCTTATTAAAATATGAACTACAGTCCAGACATACCAAAAACACTGGTATTTTCTCCTTGAGAAGTTACACTGTGGAAAGGCACAGTGGGGACTAACTAATGCATGAGAGTCCAAATTAGAAGTAAGGCATATGTTCTTGCAATGTCAGGCAGTAAGCCAGCAAAGGAATACTATGATAGGGGGAGAAACTGACTTTTAAATGTTGGAGGTTAGCCTTGGTAAGCTTCCTAATTACTAAAAATAGGAAGGAAGATGTTAATGGTCTGTTAAGGTTTTTTGGTTGAACATATGCAGATCCGCACATGATTTTGCTTGTTTCAAGGTTTGATTTCTGATTGTTGAAAACAGAACTCAAAGGAGCTGCCACACACCCAACACTGGAGCAGGGAAAACAGTGTGAGGGGGAAGTAATTAGAGAGAGAGCAACCACCATGCACTGACCACAACCCCCGTTCCCTGTCTCTCTGCCCTGCTCAGGGTAGGGGAACTTAGAGGAGTCAAGAATGAAGGAGCCAAGTTGAGCTTGGAAATAAAAAGAGGGCTAAGGGGAAGGTGTTCTAGTTTTTGTCTTTGCTTCTCACCATCAAAGTCCATTTCTTTTGGCAATAAATTCATAGAATTGTAGAGCGGCCTAAGTTGAAATGAACATAAAAAGATCATCTGGTTCAACCTTTCAATTAAATTAAGGTTTTTCCTAAGATAAGTCTGTTTTGCTTGTGGTGGTGTTTTATGACTGATCAGCCTGTGTTTATCTTGACCCATGAGCTTTTAATCTTATTTACATGCATGTTCAGTTGAGGTAGGGGAGTGAGAGATCAGCTGACTGGGTATCTGGCAGGTAATTAACAGGTTATGTGCAGTAAATTGATGTACCTGGCCCTCATGTTGCTACTGTTTACTTTGAAATTAAGACCATGTTTCCTAACCCATGTTTTTCAGAACCCTTGATGAGTTTGAAGTCCTAGGACTTGCTCTAAACATTCCTTACATGGACCCTCAACTTCTCACATTTGTGGCACTAGAGGGACGCTTAGAAGCTGTGGAGGTATTAAAATATTTTCTGTGATTTTATACTAGTGATGTTGTGATATAAATGTTTATTATTGAATCCTGTTTCTAAATAATCTGAAATCCAGGAGAATCAGGGGAAAAAATTGCTTTCCTCTGTTAGCTTGAGCTTTCAGGTCTACAAATCTGCAAATAAATGTTGGAAGTTCTTTTAAATTATGTACTACAAGAAGTCATTGATCAGTGCCCACTCCTTTTAGAATATGTATTTATTTCCTCTTAAAGGAAAAAAGTTACTGATTTCTACCAGTATAAACATAGGCCGTTTAATTTACTTCAATAAATTTTACCAGATTCTATACGTAGCAAAGGAGAAGGCTTATGCTTTGATCTGTACTTGTGAGTTGTCCTAGCTTTTTTTATTTGCAAGAGTACATTTGGATGTATCATATTTTTATATATCAGTAAAAGACTTTTGTGTGTTTGACCGTCTTGACTCCATGTGTTTTAAATAAAGAAAACCCCACAGTAACAAACAAACGAACAAAAAACCCCAATCAGAAAAACAAACCACCCAAAAAAAAAAAAAAAAAAAGCCTTTTACCTTGTTTTAATTCCATTTGATCTGTCTAATTTTGGACAGACTAGAGCATTTATTATCAAGAGCCAGCATAGTTATGATCTTTGTCTTTTCTGTGTTACCTGGTGTTGGTCAATGTGAGAGTGAATATAGAGCTACCTGAAATCCAGTTTGGTGCAGTGCAACTGCCAGAAATCTCCCCTGCAGGGTATTTGTCAAAATAAGAGTTAAGTGGTGAATTGAATGTTTTGTGGTTGAGATAAGTTTAGGGCAGCAAGGGGCAGTTTGACTACTAGCACCTGTTGTAAAGGTTTGAACAGGGCAGGCTGTATGTCAATGTGTGCCTGCAGACAAAATACCAAGGGCACTTTGAAATGCTTTCTAAAGCTGGCAGACAGTGGAAAAATCACAGGTAATGGTTTTTTGCTTTTTCCATTGATATGTTCAAAATCAACTATTTTGTGAATAAACTTCATGGTACTTTCCACGGGGGTGGAAGGGCTGTTCCCTGAAGCTGGCAGGCATGCAGTTTCCAGGTATTGTGCATCCCCCCGGGGGTGTATGGGAGGTCATCATCATTTATGATCCAGCACCATAGGTTCTTCTCCAGCTGTGCAGGATCTTGTTAGCATTACTCACCTGGGGACACTTCAGAACAGCTTGTTAATGGGGAGAAGGTGTGTTGATATCCTTATTTGAAGTTGTACAGAGAAAATTCTTGTCTCCTTCATAGCTGCTGGTTCTCACTACATCAAAAAACCCCAGAACTACAGAAACAGTTGACCTCCTTTGCACCAAAGCAAGACATTCTGTGTAGACAGGGGGAACCTAATCCCATCTTTTTTAATTTTTTTAATCTATATGTTAACACTTGAAGAAGAGACTGAGTTTATTGTGACTGAGTTTTTTTTTCTCATTCTTGTGTAACATCACCCTCATTACTCTGTCAGAATAAAACTGTGCAGTCTTGTCAGACTGATCTGTAAGTCTGTGCATGGCTGGCTGAGAACCTGCTGTCATTTTGCTTGTGTCACTGGGAACAGATTGTCACTGACAGATGACTACAAAGATAGTTATTTTGTGGTACCTGTGGTACGGGTCACTGTGATTATTGGACAAGAGGGGAAAGATGATGATTTGTGCTTGAAATTAGCATTTAAGGGTCTAAAACTTTATGGTGGGCATAGAAGTCTGGCATATTTGGAATTAGCAAAAAGAAGTGGTAACTGAGTAGTAAAAGGAACAGCTGTATTGATTGTGACCAAATGGACAACACAGGTTTTGAGTAAGAATCCTGACTATTCCCTTCAAATCTCAAGCAGAATATAGAGCAGTATGAAGATGGTTACTAAAAATTGTTCAGAAAACATGAGCAATGTAATTTACTGTAACTATGAAACACTTGAAAGGGATATGACACAAAGCATCCAAAATTTAAGTGTATCCTCACTGGAGGGGAAAGAGCGGGGCAGATCTACCTCAATTAGTTGTGACATTTGGAGGGGAGAAGTAATGAACACATTAGATATTTCTTCTGTAAGACTCTAGGTTCCTAAAATTTAATAAAATATGTGTGGGGTTTTTTATTCCATTTCTTTTAAAGAAATTGTGTAGCTGGGAGTGTCTGATTTACTTCATTAGCAGTGTAGAACAGATTGGTTGTCTCTGCAGCATCAGCGACTTTATGAGTATTTCCTGTGCCAGTTCACAGATGTGAGAAGCTCAAACCCCTGTACACTGTAGCACTCTTTGTTTTTAACAGAACAATGTCCAGTATTTTGTTAATGGTACATAGAGAAGTAAATGGTCACACAAATAATAAGAGGAAGGACATAAATGCGTTTTGAAGATACAAAGTTATCTTATAAAAGTTGTAAAAAAAACTGCTTTGCTGTGCTTTGTTTTTGAAGATGTGGTTTTAAGCATCAGAGTCATAGTGAGGCTTTGTGTCTATGATGTTTCTTTTGTATAGGTTTCAAAAGCAAGCAATACAGTGTTTTCTGTCAGAGAATACTAATACTGGATGTATACAGAGAGGTTTGACACATCAGTAATAATGCATCTCTCTGTCTGCCTGGGATCCTATCTAATTTTTCCACCTGTGTTGGTTAATCTAATTAAGCATAGTATTTTTACCTACAGCTTATTCTCAGATCATTGCAGTTATAGCAAAAAAAATTACAAAAACTAAATCATCTTAACGTTACTAACATAGTGTTGTCTGCTGTAGCAGAATTGAATGTTTTTAAGCTGTTATATTGGAGCAGTGTACCTGTTCTGCAGAGGGACTTGCGTACTACAGTAGGGATAACTGTCCCAGGATTTCCTTTATATTGTCAGATTTCTAGATCTTATACTTCTTACTAAGAGAGTTTTGTGGCCATTAGAATGAATAATTTTCAGGCTGATTAGAGCAGTAAGTAGTTGTACCTGAGGGGTATGACTACTTCATTCAGCATAGGAACCCAGTGCTTCTGTGTTCTTGGCTCTTCAGTTTCAGTATGTTTGCTCTTCAGACAGGTATATCTAGTACATTTCTCAGCAAATAAAACCAAATGTTCTGAGTTCTCTGATTTTATCTTTTTTTTCCTACTGGATATCCTTTCAGTGTCTTACAGGGTTGAATGTATGATGTAAACATCAAATATACTTGCTGTAGCCTTGGAGTCTTAAAGATTTTGTATGGTGAAAAACTTAAATTCAAACCAAAGTTACTTCAGAGCATTGTCTGTCTTAAGATGAGAAACATCTATATGGATGCTGGGTTTTCATTTCTGGAAGCTTAAATTGGTAGTGTAGCCAAAGTACTTAATATTTTTGTTTGTGCCTGAGTAATTCAACAGTTAAAACCAGGAAACACATTAATGAGGCATTTATTTTCAGAAAGCAAAATACACTGGCAGTTTTATGTTGGCAAAATGTATTACATTTTCAACTTGCTGCTGTTTCTGTAACTTTATAAAATTAACAAGTGTTTATTAGAGATAAGGTTGTGAATGTCCTCATACTCTAAGAGGGCTTAAAACCGAGGCATTACTGTTTTGACCTTCAGTTTCATCTCATTCTTTACAAAAATAGAAATGATGTAGTGGCTAGTTTGACAGACATAACTTCCATTTAAGAAAGTAATACTATTAGAATTGGATTCCTTTTCCTGCTTGTTTGGTTTTATATGAAGTGTTACATTTGTGAGTAAAAGAACTTGGTCTCTGCTCGCTCCTTTCAGGTTGCTCTGGCACAGTTGGAGTCTCTTGCCTTTGATGTTGAACAGACTCGTCCACCAGCTACTAAGGAAACCATAGATTGTCTGCCAGTGGTTCTCATCACAGGTGACTACAATGGTTTGGAAAAATTATGGAAAAATTAGTTTCCACAAAGTTTGTAAGAACAACTTTCTGTACTATCACAATACTTAAATATGCTTACTGCCAATGCTGTTTTAAAAGCTTCTGAACCTTGAATCAGACTGAGTATAATTTTAAGCAGTTTGGAAAACTAATCTTTACTAGTGATAGTGTGACTTTATTTTGTACCCATTAGTGATACTGTTGATACTAAATGAATTTTAATCTGAGCTCATCTTAGATACAAAACAAGATAATAATGCTTTTTCTTCATCATGGGTTTAGGTCAAGATGAGAGTTGTACGATCTGTTGCAGTGAATATGTGAGAGGTGAATACGTGGCAGAGCTACCCTGTCATCATTTGTTTCACAAATCTTGTGTAACTCCTTGGTTGCAGAGAGTAAGTACTAAAGGATTGGTGGGGGGGTTGTAGGGGTTTTGTGTTTTCTTCTGGGGAGGAACAACTTTAACTTTTCAAAAATGATGGTGGGATTGGGATGAAATACCAAGAAACAACTGGCTGTTACATTTATGCATTATGGAAGCAAATTCTAGTGCAAGTGAGGAGAGAAATTTATATCTGTACTTACCTGAAGGGCAATTTCTTGAATAGAGGGGATATTTTTGTGAGAAAAATGTTTTGCTTTTAGTAAGAATGAAAGACGTGGTTGAGTTGTTTTGGTACAAGAAAACCTGTCTTTACTGTATTCCTACCTCGAAGTAAAGATGATGGTTTGGTATTTTCTGAGAAGAGCAATTCTCTGTCTTGCCACAATGTCAGGCCCGTTTATGATGTAGGGCTGACAGGAGAAATACTTGAAATGCTTATAGATTAATTTTTTTAAATTATGTTTAGTAATTCCATGTTGTATCATTTCATTTTCATAACCTGTAATCAGTTTTCTTCCAAGTGTTTTAAAAAGGCTTGTGTCATATTGAAGCTAGAACTGTAATTAATGAATTGGTATGTTTTATTCCTTGGACTTGCACTCTCCTTTATGTGCAGTGTGAGTCTGGACTTGCTAGTTCTCAGTGTACAGCATACCACATCATTTTCTCAAGAGCATAAGAGAAAGGTTAATTGATTGCATTAGGGAGGTCCTATCAAAACACCTCTAGTGTGGAGGGTTGGTAGGTTTAGTTGGTGTGTTTATATTTTTTTTCCTTGATAATGTTGGTTTGATTACCACCTTGATTTTGCTTGTTTTACATGTCTTACCTTTTTTCTGCTGTCATAGTAAACTGCTCTTCCTGAAAACTAAGACTTATTTTTAATCCTTGCCTCAGAAGAAAAAAATACCACATGTAAAATCAATGCCTTGCAGGAGAACTTGGAGAAATTCCAATGCATTTTCTGTGTAACTGGTGTAAAAGCAAAACAAGTCTTTCTTCTGAGTTTATCTCTCTTGGCTCAGGTAGCTCTCCAGTCAAATTTGAGTTTAAGACAGTAAATACTTTATAAATAATAACTTTAGCTTTTCGGTGAAATTGAATGCAAACTGTGCAAATGACCTGGTATTTTTTTCTCTTTTTATAGTCGGGAACATGCCCAGTTTGTCGTCATGTGCTTGCTCCTGTGCTTCCTGAAGCAGCGGATGACACTTATCGTTAACTGATTGATGATTCAGTATCTTCTGCTCACAGGACTTTCAATCTAGGGTCTGAAATAAAATCTGGCACCAAGTGCAAATTTTACCTGTTTAATTATAATGTGAAAACAATTCTGTATAAAATATTAACATAGAATCATAGAACAGCTTGAGGAGGAAGGCACCTCAAAGATCATCCTGTTCCAACCCCCTTGCCATGGACAGGGACACCTTTCACTTGACCAGGTTGCTCTGAGCTCCATTCAGTTTGGCATTCAGGGATGGGGTGTCCACAGCTTCTGTGGGCAACCTCTTCTGTAGGCGAACACCAGGATTACGAAGCCTGGAAAGAACAGCTTTAGAAACGGGTCCATTACAGCGGCAGCTTCCCATGATCGAGCAAAGCAGAAAAAGAACAACTACTTGCGTTTTCCATTGTACGGGTTCTCCCTGAGCTGTGTAATTTCCCTAACCCACGCGGCCCCCCCCATTCGGAACCATGTTTGCTCCCCTCCCCGATCGCAGACTCCATCTCTGCACAAACAGGATAGGCTGTCTCACCCGCCTCTCCCCAGTCCCTGGTTCTGTTACTGGAACATGATCCTCCTGTATCCCCTATTGGTCAGTAGAGTCCTCAAGCCACTCCCTTCCCCCTGGACCTTGACCCAATCACATCCCTTCTTCTTGCCCTCCCCCCCGAGCCCATATAAACCATGGGAGTTTGGAAATAAAGGTCTTTTCACCTTGGGACACCGAGTGGAAACTTGGTTGCTCTCTCCTCCTGCCGAAGGGGGACTGCGCGACTGAGTTCTTCTCCAGGAAACCTCTAGTGGAGAGTCCACAATCAAGATCCGTTACTCTTCCAGTGCCTCACCACCCTCACAGCAAAGAACTTCCTCCTAACATCTAACCTAAACCTGATCTCTTTCAGTTTCTGTCCTGTCACTACGTGCTGTTGTAAATAGTCTCTCTCCATCTTTCTTGTGGGCTCCCTTCAGGTGCTGGAAGGCCAAATCGAGTCACCCCAAATGTTCAGCCTTTTCTTCTCCAGGCTGAACAATCCCAGTTCTCTCAGCCTTTCCTCAGAAGAGAGGTGCTTCATCTGTCTAATCATCTTCATGGTCCTACTCAGTACTTGCTCCAACAGGTCCCCATCTGTCCTGTGCTGGGACCCCAGAGCTGGATGCAGCACTGCAGGTGGGTCTCACCAGAGCAGAACAGAGGGGCAGAAACCCTCCCTCACCTGCTGCCCACACTGCTTTGGATGCAGCCCAGGATATGTTTGGCCTTCTGGGCTGTGAGTACATATTGCTGGCTCATGTCCAGCCTCTCACTCACCAGCTCCACTGAGTCCTTCTCAGCAGGGCTGCTCTTGGTCTGTTCATCACCCAGCCTGTGTTGATACTGGGGGTTGCCTAGACCCAGGTGCAGCACCTTGCACATGGTCATGTTAAACCTCAGGAGATTTCCAGAGGCTCATTTCCTGATCTTGCCCAGGTCCCTCTGGCAGGCCCCACTGTACCACTCAGCTTGGTGTCACCTGTAAATTTGCTGAGGGGGTACTTGATCCCTTCGTCTGTGTCATTAATGAAGATATGAAATGCCACTTGTCCCAGTATGGATCCCTTAGGGACACCTCTTGACACCTGTCTCCATCGGAACGTTGAGCCATTGATCACTGAATGAAGGAATAAGCAAATGTGAAAAATAAGCTTGTTTCTGTACAAGGCTTTTGTTGTCTATACATGCACTAGTACATTGGAAGCTTTCAAATTCCTGCAGGTTTTGAAAGGATAAATTACTTGTTTTGGCTATTAGACAGAGAGGTAACAGTTTTTTCCTAAACAGCAATAGCAAAAGCAGTTGATGTAGTGTGAAAAGGACCCCCTCCTCTACGAGTCAAAGGGTTTTGGATAAGCTGCCTCATCACAGTCCCTCTACAGCTTTGCAGACACCATCCTTGTTATACAATGCAGAAAACTTCTGTTTTTCCTCCTTGCTTCCTTATTCTGTGCTTAATTGAACACCTGAGAAAAAGACACTTTCTTTTTTAATAGTGTAAAGCTGCAAAATGCAATTATTCTTTATCTCTAAAGCAATAATTCTCTACAAACCATATAAGCTGTTTATATAAGCTGTGAAAAGAGTGTGAGTTGGAGTGTTTGGGTTGAAAGGGACCTTATAAATCACCTGCAGATCACTTTCCTTGAGCCCAAGTTCTTCAAAGCCCCATCCAGCCTGGCCTTGAACACTTAAGGCAGCTGCAGCATCTCTGGACAGCTTGTTCCAGTGCCTCATCACCCTCACAGTAAAGAATGTCTTCCTAATATCTAATCTAAACCTACTCTTGGTTTGAAACCATTATGCCTCCCGTTGTCACTCAAGTCCCCCCTAAAAAGTCTCTCCTCATCTACCCTGTAACCACTCATTAGATATTGGAAAGCTGCTCTAAGAGCTACCTGGAGCCTTCTCCAGGCTGAACAACCCCAGCTCTCTCAGCCTGTCTTTGTAGGGAAGGTTCTTCAACCCCCCTGATCATTTTGTGGCCCTCCTCAGGGCCTGCTTGAGCATGTCCATGACTTTGTTATGCTGAGGGCTCCAGAGCTGTGCACAGCACTCCAGGTGGGGTGGGAGTGCACCATCAGAGTGGAGCACAGAGGCAGAATCCCCACACATTGCTGGGTCACATCAAGCTTTTCATCATCCAACACCCGGTTATGATCCGGTTATTAAAATTATTAGAAATGCCTCTGCCCGGATAAAGGTGCAAATGAGACCAGATGCCAAAGTCAATAGTATGGGTTTTATTTAATGGTAAATGTGAGGCAGAGAAAGAGAGAGAAAGATACAGGAAAAGGAGCGAGGAAAGAAAGAAAGAGACAGAGATTACAATAGGAAATGTGTTACCACACTGTGTAATGCGGCATCATCCCATTGGTCCAGTTCTTCTGGTTTTCTTGGTGAGGAGGGTCCCACAAAACATGGAGTCCAGTGGATAATATATGTTTAGGAGACGCCAGGCACCTCCCCTGGAGGTGGGGGGTGAAGCTTTTCAGTCTCTTCCAACAGGCTCTGAATTTCTTGCCTCACTTGGATCGTGTGTAATCCTTTGGTGGTAGAAGATCTCAGGAGTGAGCTGGGGGGGGCACTGTGGGGGTCTTTGACGTTTTATGACCCTTCTCAGCTGCCTCTCACACAAATCTCACACAATGTCTGTACATGGTATTCCCAGAGCAAGGAGGTTTACTCTTTTGGTTTGGAGAGTCACCATGACACACCCAAAACCGTTCTCCTCTACCAACCCCTGAGCCCAGCTAGGGCTGATTCTTAACACAGATACATTCTTCTGTCCTGAGCCTTGTTTACTTCTCCTCGGACTTGAGATGGTTAGACAACAGTCTTATCTCAAGCCCCCAGTCACAGTCCAAATTCCAACCAGGAGGCATTGGGGGAGGGTGGTGCTTTGGTGGTTGCAGCAGGCAGTTGCTTACTTGTAGTTTGACAAAAAGTCTTTCTGTGATGTTGACCATGTTTAAGACATTACCAACACTTCAATCTGTCACACACCCAAAAGTCCTTCTCAGGGCTGCTCTGAATCAATTCACCTCCCAACCTGTATTTGTGCTTGGGATTGCCCCAACCCAGGTGCAAGACCTTGCACTTGTTGAAATTCATGAGGTTCACAGAGTCCCCTTCTCAGGCCTGTCAGGGTCCCTCTGGATGCTTCTGTTCTCAGTGCCAGCACATTTCTGTTTGAGTGCACTGTCCAACAGAGTTGAAGTCTTCTGGCGTCTTTGTCTTTACATTCCTTTTAATTCCCTTTTGTTGTCCTTGTAACTCTGTAATCTGACCTGCAGAACCCTGCAACCCGTCTCACTGCTTGGACTAAGGATAGAAACAGATCACCCTGAAGTAACTCCTCAGGCTTTCAAGAATCCAGTTGAAAACCACCCCTTTCTTTTTAAAATCTATACAGGTTTTCTGCAGTTTACCTCTGATATACAGCCCCTAACTCGTCTGTCCACCATCACTTCCCTTTTTTCTTGGGGAGGTGTCTTTTACAGGTGTCCTCCTACCCCCTTCTACAAACCTCTTTCACCAGCTTCCAGTTTTGCTCTGAGACCAGCGTGAGGCCTTTCCTTTGCTGATACAATGGCATTGCAGGGGACACAGTCTGTTCCATTCATTTCCCTCAGCACTGACTGCTTTCCTTCCTTTTGATAGTCAGCTCCTAGAAACCGGAAAAAGAGAGGCAAAGGCTGTGGGCTTTAGTTATAAATCTGGGAGGCAGTTGGAGGTGAATGGCCAGGGAAGAACTCCAGACTTTTCCTGTGTTGTTGGAGGTGGGAACAGCAAGGGCTTTCAGAAGGGTGGTTTGCCTTCATACCTTCTCCAGCCATGCTCTTCCATAGAGGGATGGTGGGGAGGTTGTTCCAACATTACTCTGTCTGACATCAAGGCAGGTGAGCTGCCTCTTTTTGCCTATGTGTGAGGTAGCAGGGTAATCACAAAACCAGTTCTAAGAAAGACTACATTTCAGATTTTCAGTGTTGTATAACAACTAATGGCTTGCTTGCTAATAGAAAATTCATTAGATTTTGTGGAAATAAGTATATCACCATTTAAGTAAAAAGAGAATTCAAATATTACATTCAATTCATATTAGTCACAGTCAACAGTTCAGCAACTGATGGATGGTTTTTGTAGGTTTTTAGTTGTTAAAGATCAAGAAAATTTATTTATACTGTAACCAATAAGATTATCACCAGTGAGTAAAATATACTGCTGTTGTTGGAAGACTTGTTCTTGCTCAGAAAGCCAAGGTAAAGACTAAAAGAAACAAAACCAAGTTTCCTCTTTGATAGCCCATCTGCTCTTTTACCTTGAAAATGTGTTATTTTTTTTCCAGCTCCTTTTTTTTGAGGCAGATGTAATGAGGTTTTGTGAAACACTGAGGGTATACAAAGAGCATCCTCTTTACACTGAGGCTTGGTTGATTATGGAGTGGGGTTCAATCAGTGAATTGTTGACCAGCTGGCAAGTACTAGTGGATAAGGCTCCTCATCTTGTGTTATAAGGAGACAAATGGGCTGGCAATCATCTCTGTGTAGCCTTTGTACAGACCTGATATCAAAGGTGTAAACCAGCATTCAGAGCCACAGACTCTTGCAACCTTGTCACTGAAATCCAATGCAAACTAACTAAAACAAACTCTGGTACTAGACAGAGCCAAGGCCATTCAAGACTTCATTGTACACTGATGTCACATTCCTCACATACAGTGTAATAAAATAATTTAAAATAAGAGTTCTCTTCCCCGAGTTTGAAGCAAAATCTGTCAGATTATTTTACGTGGAGAAAGCGGAGGATATTTTGCTGAGAATATGATATATTTGGCATGGATGTAATTTCAGTGTGCACTCCCAAAACATATTTCCAGATGCATTATCTTTTGCTTTGAACTTGCAATAGCATCATTCCTCAAAAGGCCCATTGTGTTTTAGTAAATTTAAGACTATTGCCATAACGGACACATTTTAAAGCAGCAACATCAGAGTTGTTTATTTCATAAAACAAATATGTGTAGCTGTAGCAATCCTGTTCCACATTCTCCCTTTAACAGAACAGTCTCTCCATAGTGATGGAGTAATGTGTGAGCACATCTGAACTGATACTGTGAATGCTATAGGTATCCTGTTCTGAAAAATGCCAAAGACTGGAAAGGAAAAACAACCCTGTCTCGGTAATTT